CAGGAATATTATCTCTTAATAACCATATATTACCGGGGCCGTCTAAATAAACACTACATATTATTTCAGATATATTACCAACTGTATAATCAACTGCATTATTACCACCAGAGATCTAAATCAGATCAAAAATAAATAAAACTATAGTTACAAATATATACATTTTTAAAATTTTTTTAAAAAACCATATATGTATGCGTTTTATATACGCATATAAGATTAAATTACCGTAGCATTTCTCATATTTATGGGCTGTGAACCAGTAGACACACCGAATTGACCATCACCAGTAGCATCAAAGCTTCCACCAAAATATATAGTATTATTTTCCTTATTAGATGCAATCGTGTAAACAGGGCCATTAAACCCTTTGAATGGTAGAGGCTGCCATATACCAGTTCCATTATTCCATATAGCCACACCGCTACCAAATTCAGTAGCATTGTAATTATTTTTAGTTGGGTTTACCGGAGCAGAAAACAAACCACCAACATAAACAATCGAATTTGATTTATCACAATACAATGAATGAACAGCCCCATCCAAACCATCCAATAACGAAAGAAAAGTATCAGTAGTAACATCATAACGGATTATGTTGTTTGTAGTTATACCGCCAATACTTGTAAAGTTACCGCCTATAAATACATCTACATCTGCATTATCATTGTTATCAGAAGAACGTGGCAATATACATAATGCATTGATTGTTCCTTGTGTAGAAGTAGAACCAGCGAGTTTATATGTATTATTGTTTGCTAATTGTATAATGAAAGAAGCAGTTGAAACGTCATACGATTCTTTTTGACCTATAACATCATATTCAGATATACCGTCGTATTGTCCTGTTATTAGTAATTTTGAAGTAGCATCAAAATATACGCCAGGATTGTCTGCTAAAATAATAGTAAAAGAAAGTTGATATATTACTATAAAACATGTTAATATTATAAGGTTTGAATAATGTGGTATTAATATTAGTTTCATTTTTTTTAAAACATTGAATGAATGAATCTAAACTTCTAGAAATTAATGTAAATTATTATTTATTATTAAATTAAAATAAATATTAAGATCTATATATATGTATTGAATTAAATAGAAATGTTTTTTATTTAATAAAAAAAAATATATCGTTCTTATTCTATATAAAGTTCGAGCGAGGGAAAGGAGGTGATATTATTATGCAATGTAGTAAGTGAGGTGTAATTGTTATTATTATTGCTATATACAAATTAATAATAATAATAATAATAATAATAAATAATACACGAGTTGTAAAAACTCAGAAAACTCTAAAAAAAAATTTTATAGCGAAAAAAAAATTTTTTCGGTTTCATTTAATTAGTGATAAATTACCCAAAATAAATTATTATTATTAAAGTTTGATGATGTCACTTATTGTGTTAATTATCTAAATTATTTTAGCAGTGTGATAATACAGTAAACAATACAAATTATAGGTTTTCAAAAAACAAGCATGCTTTAGAATTACACTCAGGTTTAGTTGGAGAATGAGCCACCAAA